TCAGGGTACAGGGGGCGAAATATAATATGAAAATATCACTCGGTCGATCGAATGAATATTTACAGTATGAGATGTAATATATGTTACATATCATACTGTGTACTATATACATACTGTAGTACATGCGCCTATGCTCGAGGCTGATAAGAATGGTTTCAACCAAATTAAGGTCACCAATGAGCCCCTTAGCACGTCTCTCCACTGAGTCCAGTGCTGCCAGGTGGCATTTTGCAGCACCAGCCCATATGTGACAGCAGTACTCCATGCACGGCCGGACTTGCGCTTTGTATAAGGTATGGAGTGTAGAGTAGAAAGAGGACCATCTCTGTATATGAAAAGTGTCCCTAAAAACGTGTCCAATAAGGGTGGCGCTGCAGTAGCATAGGATAAATTAAAAAGAAGCGCCAAAAGTATTTAGAATAAGATGGAGAAATAAATAAGGACCGATCAATCCGCTTGGTTTTGTACTACGTAAATAGTTGAGATTTTGTATATTGGCGTTTAACTAACTACTCTAGTCATGAAATATTTGAATTCAGCTGACTTCACTCCGTTCATAACAGCTATCTTCATGTCGTAGTTTTTCAGACGCCAGCGCTATTGTGGTAGGTTTTGGAACCTCTATTTACAGTAAATAGTAGGACACTTTTTCAACCTTCGCTCCTTATAAGATGGTTCTCCTTCTACTCTACACTCCATAGTATAAGGTAAGAAGCTGCCCCGGCGTGAAGTACCGCCGCACCCTTGCAAGGACACCAAGTGTCCTTGCGGCTGCTTTGGCTCTGGACTCAATGAACCGCCCATAGTTTAGGTTCGGAGAAAATTCAATCCCTAACAACTGAAGGCGGTCAGTGTACTCCAAGGATACATTCCGGAAAGTAGGAGCCAAAGTGAGCGGGCTCCTTTTAGCGGTAAAAAGACAAGCTTGTGTTTTGTAGGCGTTAAATCTCACGAGATTGGCATCGCCCCATTCGGAGACTGCCTGTAGTATGAGACTCGCACGCTTAACCATAGCCTCTCTTTCTGATTGGATTTGATCCCGACTGGCCCGGGCGCTTGGTTGGTATCTCTCCACAACTGTGCTGTCGTCTACATATCCATAGACACCGGGAATGAGCAGATCATTTATATGCAGCAGGAAGAAAGTTACGGAGAGAACGGACCCCTGAGGAACACCGGCATTAGTCGCCATAGTATTGGATGAGCAGCCATTAACGACGACCCGGAGAGACCGTTCACTCAGAAAGTCCTTCACCCAGACAATTAGGCCAGGGGATAAGCCGTGCGCTGAAAGCTTGCCCAATAGATTAGCGTGCCAAACCCTGTCAAAAGCCTTCGAAACATCGAGTGAAACAGCAAGTGCTTCACCACTGTTCTCGAGGGCTTCGCCCCATATGTGAGTGGCATACGCTAGAAGGTCCCCAGTTGATCGATTTCGGCGAAACCCGTACTGGCGATCACTGAGGAGATCATTTTGCTCTAGGTATGCCATGAGGTGGGCGTTCAATATACGCTCCATAATCACGCAGAGTATGGAGGTAATTGAAATTGCAGGGTCGGTACGGCTACCTTTTTTAGGCACAGGCTGTACATTGGCCAGCTTCCAAGACTTAAGCACTATTCCAGTCCTGAATGAGAGGCGGAACAAGCGTGTCAACACAGGAGACAACTCAGGTGCACAGACCTTTAGAACTATAGCTGGTATACCATCAGGTCCACTAGCTTTGTTCACGTCTAGACTTCGCAAGGTTTTAAGAACCTCCTTGTTGGCGATACGGACCTCAGATATAGAGGTACCGCAGTGAGGTAATTGAGATGGTACGGTGTTGCTACTGTCCAGACGCAAATTGCAAGCAAAAAGAGAAGCAAATAAGTCCGCTTTCTCCTTAGGCGCATGCGCCAGTGAGCCATCTGGTTTTACCAGCGGAGGCAGTGTAGACCGACAGAAGTTTGTCCCGACCGCTTTGGCGGTAGAGACCAAAAAGCTCTTCTGCCAGATGGTTTGACAGAGAGCTTTGTGCCGATGCGTTTAATGAGGTCGAAACTGGCTTGGCGTAATGCCTTTTTGCACGACTTGGCGGCTTGGTTAACGGCTCTCTTCTTAAGGCAAGCTTCTTAAGGCCAATGTTTAAACTATGATTTTGGCGCTTTTGCTTGTCAAGTTTTCAAAATCCACTCACGCTAATACAGACAGAGACAGTGAAATTATCTTTGATTACTAAACTGCGCAAATTAAAAGCAGACGGAGTGAAACTGTCTTTGACACTGGATGAATGGACGAGTTTGGAAAATTGTCAATTTATGAACGTTAATATCTACAGACTCATGTTAACCCATAATTTTGCCACTCTTGGTCTGGTAAGTGTTTGATAGCATGCCGACCAGAACATGTTTGCAGTAACTGGAAGTTATCCGCATCCGAATTGTTTCTTAGTCTGTACAACTACTGACAGTGCCAGTGTAATGATCCCATTTGGAAGACAAGCAGCACTTTTCCACCAGCAATGCCTTGCTCATGGTATACAGCTAGCGATATTCGACGTGCTCTATAAAAAGAAAACAGTTCCCAAACTCAACTTAGCGAACTGGAAGATGACGATCTGCTTCGGAATGTTATGGAGAAGATTACTATGACGAGGTTTAATCGAAAAAGTTGCGAAACTTTTCATAAAGTCGCCTTTTTAAAAATGATGCCAAATTGTAGAAATATGTAAAACAAGAAATAGGACATGAGCTCAGTTTGATTTTAGATTTTAGGGCACGGTGGAATAGTGTAATAGACATGTTAGAAAGATTTGTCAAACTCAAAATCCGTATTCAAAAGGCGCTGATATATTTAAATAAGGACCTGGAAACATCTGAGGATGAGTTCAAAAAACTGGTTGATCTCAGAAATGTACATATTTGAAATCCTAAAAGCGACAGTTGAAGAACTTTGCAAAAGAAACGCCAATCTGATGACGTCTGATATGGCTTTGATGTCCATGCTCAAAAAATTAGAGGCTATGCATTATGAACCTATTGCTAGTGAACTTGTCCCATCTTTGAAGCGAAGGATAAAAGAGCGCAGGTTGTTGGAGGCTTCTACTCTGAATTATTTGCATGATCCTAAATCATATTTTCATTCATCAGATGATGACTACTCCGACATCTTTCTAAGGCCAAATGATGGCGAAATGTGAAAATATATTGGAGACCTACATCAGCTTGGTCAGACTCAGGCTACGGAACAAACGATTGACGTTTCTGTTTCTACTACAGACGAGGAGAATACAAACAGGAATGACAAATATGACACACTACCGCTGAAGAAGCAATTATAAATGGCAATTCAAAAGAAACTGTGGGCTCCAGATAATATATATAAAATACTCCAGGCGATGTGGATATACTATTTCTATATTGATCAATATAGAAATAGTTCCATATGAAAACGGCGGTTCTAGGGGAAAATATTTAGAATTAGCATATCATAATTTAAGAAGCATTTTTTCTACCAGTATAGAGTTGGAGCTTTCTCTACAGCTTTTGAATCATTTGCGCTCAAGATTAAGTGACAAAACACTAGTTGCACTATTATTTTGTCCATATTTCTGGGACACTATTTTCTACAGCGATCGTTTCCTTTTTTTTTATAGAAGAGGGGGCAAACGAGCATGCAGCTCACCTGATCAAGGTCAAGTGGAAGGAGCTGGCACTGGGGTGCCCCGGCCCAGAGATAAGAACAGTATTCCATGTGGGGCCGAACTTGCGCTTTGTAAATGAAATACTGTCTCGCTCTGCTGAGCACGCCAAGCTTTTTAGAGGCCAATTTGGCCTTCCCTTCCAAGTGACCACGAAACTGCACACTATTCGATATGTCGACGCCAAGGATTCCCATACTAGCTGAGGCAGCAAGGGGAGTGCCTTGAAACTGAGGAGATACGACAAAGGGGTTCTTTTTAGCGGTAAACGCGCAAACTTGTGTCTTCTGGGGATTGAACTGGACTAGATTTAGTTGGCACCAATCCGAGACTTTGTTCAGCAAAGACTCGACTTCAGACACAAGTTTGTCCCGCTACTCAGCGACGTTTTCCCGAGAAATATTGGCACGGCCGGTATATAAGGCATCACCAGTGCTGTCGTCTGCATAGCAATGAATGCTACTAGTTAGCAACATATTATTGATATTTAGGAGAAACAGCGTTGGTGATAGCACGCAGCCTTGTGGAACACCAGCGTTGATAGGCTTGAAATCAGAGCATGCACCGTCTACTACGACCTTGATGCTCCGATCAGCAAGGAAACTGGTGATCCATTTGCACAATTTCTCGGGAAGCCCATAGGAACGAAGCTTCGAAAGAAGCACTTTATGCCAGACCCGATCGAAGGCCTTCGCTATGTCAGATAGACTAGAAGATCACCAGCTGATCGAGCTCGACGAAAACCGTACTGGCGGTCATTTATCAGCTGGTGATCCTCAAGGTACCTCATGAGCTGGCAGTTTATAATGGATTCCATTATTTTGGAGAACAAGGAGGTGATGGCAATAGGCCTGTAGTTGGACGGGTCTGAGCGGTCGCCTTTTTTTAGGGATCGGGTGGACCAAAGCTGTCTTCCATGAATTCGGGACTACGCCTTGGGAGTAGGAGTATCGGAATAGACGCGTTAAAACCGGTGCCAACTCCGGAGCACACGTCTTCAGCACAACTGGAAGGACTCCATCGGGCCCACTCGACTTGCTGACGTCCAGGGAGAAGAGTGCTTTGCGAACCGAGCGCTGTGTAAACCGCACATCCGGCATGGAACACTCACATCGCGGGATGGTCGGCGGTGTGTTCCCCCCGTCATCTAGAGTTGAGTTGGACGCAAAAGAGAGCTCAACAGATCGGCTTTCTCCTTCTCTTTAACCTCCATGTAGATTTGGTTGAGTATAGTCTGTGCTGACAATGACAAACGTCATTTCATACTCAGAGGAGCTAGAACCCAGAGCCGTAAAGGTAGTTAAAAAAAGTCATTTCATAATGAAATTGTTGAAAGATGAATTGAAAACAAAGTTGTAATAGAAGAGTAACTAAATAATATAAACGGGCACCTTCAACTTACCCTTGCTTTGAATTGAAATTAGGTTTAGGTCAAACATTTTGAGGACTATTTTGAAGTAATTCATTACAAATACTGTTTCCGTATGAAACGTTACTAATATTTTCTATTGAAAATGTCATTGGAACAAACGGCTTGTGATGGTAGGTTTTAGTTTAGTATGCCTAAACTTTATTAATTTACTATCATTGTTATTCTTATTTGGGCCTGAAGTACAAAATTGTTTATGTGAGTAACATAAACGTTAAAATATGATTTTTATGTGACGGTATTTTATGCATTTAACCCTTTACCATGTTGATATCGAAGCATAAGTACATAAAAGTTCTGAAATCATAACTGAAGTTGTTTTAAGATTTACTGCATATCAAGACGATCATGAATACTAAGAGTAAAAATCTGGATGATATGAACAATGATAAGCATTTCTTCAGATTGTAATGGTATCTCTATATCAGGTAAAGGTCAATGTGCTGTTGATCCTTTAGCTACTGGTCTAGTGTATTATATTCATGGAGTACTTGTGCTTAACAGCTCATTTGATTATAAGTGCATAATTTGAAGTTATTCAATAGATATTGTATATATTTTAGTATCCAAAAAACCCAACAATGTCTGTTTTATTTTTAAAAAAAATACTCCATCCTAATATTTATTATTATTGCATTCATAAAGTTAATATTATTGCAACTTCTTAAACATACTGATAATTGATAAGGATACTGCATAAGCATACTCCATATAATGCAGCAATATTAAGGTTGCACCTTAATATTGCTGTATTTATCTTATTTATTCCAAATATGACTTAACATATAAGTCATATTACTTGGTGCAGCTTCAGACAAAATGGTGAAACAAATAAAAAAGTAATAAGATTTTTTGATCTGGTCCACCTACACTGTGTAGGTGGACCAAATCAGTCAGACCAGCTGATCCATCTGCAGTGTCTTTGCCTATGGATCTACTGTGGCATATTTTTTTCCTAAACAAAAGAAAATCCCAGGTAATATGGGGTATGAAACTCAAAAATTATTATGAAAAATATTACTTTTATTTTTAATCATAGTTGTTTTCCAGCTTAATGTAATACAAAATCTTTGATGGCTATTACTAACCTCTACATTAATATAAATGATTGATGTATTAGGTGCTCTTACAGACTTGAAGGCTTTTGAACGTCGACTGACAGAGGTTATAGCATGTCTTCAACCAGCCACTATGAGATGGAGAAGTAAGTACAAGATTTATTTCCTATGCTTATATGTAGATATTATTTATAATAATTTTATCTTATGTAGTATTCAAGAATAAAGGTCAATTTTCAGCTATATGTGAAGTAGATTGTTCGGCTTTTGCTGCAACCTTCAGCCTAAACTAAAGCCAAAGGTTGAATTGTGCAAGTTGCAGAAATTTCAACAGTGGTAGAGCCAAGCGGTAGCTTTTGCTGTCGCACGGATGGGCCAGCTCGAACCGGGGTGGTACCACGACCTCACAGAATACCAGCGTGAAGTAGAGATTTACCTCTGTGTTGCGCTTGGTGAGTGCAGGTGGCCGGAGGCCCAGTTCCCCCCCCCCGCCCCCCATCAACATGGTAGTGGAATTAAATACAAGACTACCCCAGGAGGGTACCAGCACCCCTGGAGAATCCCTCGCTGAGCATCCACGAACAAACTACTTCACTCCTGAGCATGGGTGCTCAGGCTGCCCCGCGTATTCTGGGGGGGGGCAAAATTCCGCTCGTGACTAATGCTGCTCGGGGCAAGCGGAGCAATACAACCAAGGCGACCCCTGTCACGCTATCCGTGAATTTTTGCAACATCAGGGGACTTCATTCCAACCTTAACGCTGTCCATTACCATTTAGAGACGGCGAAGCCGGCCTTGCTCTTTTTAACCGAGACTCAGGTGTCCTCTCCGGCTGATACTTCATATCTCTCCTACCCGGGATACAAATTGGAACACTCCTTTGTGCCCCGGGCTGGAGTTTGTGTATACGTCAGAGAGGACATCTGTTTTCGACGCCTCGGCAGCCTTGAAGGTACGGACCTGTCCATCCTATGGCTGCGCGTAGACAGCGACGACCATCCCCACGTCTACGGGTGCCTCTATAGGTCCCATAGCGGTAATGCCGACACAGACCGACTCATCGACCACGTCCAAATGGCTGCAGACTCCATGCTACAACAGGTCCCATCCGCAGAGATCGTGATACTCGGTGATTTCAACGCCCACCACGCTGAATGGCTTGGTTCTCGTTTAACCGATCATGCGGGTAGATCTGTGTACGACTTTGCTTTGGCATATGGTCTAACACAACTGGTTACTTCGCCTACGCGGATCCCAGATGTGGAAGACCATGTACCTTCCCTGTTGGACCTTCTCCTGACCTCTCATCCGGACGGATATCAGGTCTCCGTCGATGCCCCTCTGGGCTCTTCGGACCATTGTCTGATCCGGAGCACGGTGCCACTCACGCTCCAATCGCAGTTTCGATCTACAGCTTGCCGCCGTGTTTGGCACTATAGGTCAGCTGATTGGGACGGGATGCGGTCTTTTTTTGCATCCTACCCTTGGGGGCTTGCTTCTCGCCGGAAGATCCCAGCGTTGTTGCCGATTCTGTTGCTGATGTGGTACTTCAGGGTATGGAACTTTTTATTCCATCCTCTGTGGTGCCCATCGGAGGCAGATCCCAGCCATGGTTTGGTCGCTCCTGTAAAATAGCATCACGCTATAAGCAGGAGTGCTACCGGGCCTGGGCTGACGCATCAACGTCTCGGGATTTAAACACCAGCGCACTTAAAAAGAAGTATAATTCCGCCTCCAGGTCCTTCAAAAGCGTCATTGCCAAGTCAAGGTCTGAGCACATCGGCAGAATTGGCGAGAAGCTAGTTCGCCTTCCTTCGGGAACCCGTGCATTCTGGTCTCTCGCCAAGGCTGTCCAAGGGAACTTCTGTCAGCCATCCCTCCCATCTCTGCACAGAGAGGACGACTCACTGGCCCATGCCGCAAAAGAGAAAGCCGATCTGTTGTGCTCTCTTTTTGCGTCTAACTCGACTCTAGATGACGGGGGGAATACACCGCCGACCATCCCGCGATGTGAGTGCTCCATGCCGGATGTGCGATTTACACAGCGCTCGGTTCGCAAAGCACTCTTCTCCCTGGACGTCAGCAAGTCGAGTGGGCCCGATGGAGTCCCTCCCATTGTGCTGAAGACGTGTGTTCCGGAGTTGGCACCGGTTTTAACGCGTCTTTTCCGGTACTCCTACTCCCAAGGCGTAGTCCCGAATTCATGGAAGACAGCTTTGGTCCACCCGATCCCTAAAAAAGGCGACCGCTCTGACCCGTCCAACTACAGGCCTATCGACATCACCTCCTTGTTCTCCAAAATAATGGAATCCATTATAAACTGCCAGCTCATGAGGTACCTTGAGGATCACCAGCTGATCAGTGACCGTCAGTACGGTTTTCGTCGGGGTCGATCAGCAGGTGATCTTCTAATTTACTTAACTCATAGATGGGCGGAGGCAGTAGAGTCCAAGGGGGAGGCATTGGCCGTTAGTTTGGACATAGCGAAGGCCTTCGATCGGGTCTGGCACAAGGCGCTTCTTTCGAAGCTTCCTTCCTATGGGCTTCCCGAGAAATTGTGCAAATGGATCACCAGTTTCCTTGCTGATCGGAGCATCAAGGTCGTAGTAGACGGTGCATGCTCTGATTACAAGCCTATCAACGCTGGTGTTCCACAAGGCTGCGTGCTATCACCAACGCTGTTTCTCCTGCATATCAATGATATGTTGCTAACTGGTAGCATTCATTGCTATGCAGACGACAGCACTGGGGATGCCTTATATACCGGCCGTGCCAATATTTCTCGAGAAAACGTCGCCGAGTACCGAGACAAACTTGTGTCTGAAGTCGAGTCTTTGCTTAACAAAGTCTCGGATTGGGGCCGACTAAAGTTTAGTCCAGTTCAATCCCCAGAAGACACAAGTTTGCGCGTTTACCGCTAAAAAGAACCCCTTTGTCGTATCTCCTCAGTTTCAAGGCACTCCCCTTGCTGCCTCAGCCAGTATCAGAATCCTTGGCGTCGACATATCGAATAGCGTGCAGTTTCGTGGTCACTTGGAAGGGAAGGCCAAATTGGCCTCTAAAAAGCTTGGCGTGCTCAGCAGAGCGAGACAGTATTTCATGCCGGCACATCGCTTGCAACTTTACAAAGCGTAAGTTCGGCCCCACATGGAATACTGTTCTCATCTCTGGGCCGGGGCACCCCAGTGCCAGCTCCTTCCACTTGACCGCATCCAGCGCAGAGCGATTCGAATCGTTGACGACCGAGTTCTTTCCGATCGGCTCGATACACTGGCACTGCGTAGAGATGTTGCATCTCTTTGCGTATTTTATCGCATCTATCACGGGGAGTGCTCTGAGGAATTGTTCGGACTAATTCCAGCCGCTCAATTTCACCATCGCACGTCGCGACAAAACTCGCGTTACCATCCGTACCATTTGGATGATTGGCGGTCCACCACTGTGCGATTTAGAAGAAGTTTTCTCCCTCGCACAACTTCTTTGTGGAATCAATTACCACCAGCGAATTTTCCGAACCGATACGACTTAGGAACCTTCAAAAAAAGAGCTTACACCTTTCTAAAAGGCCGGCAACGCATCTACAATTCCCCTGATGTTGCGGTTGTTCATGGGCGGCGGTAGTCACTTACCATCAGGTGAGCCGCATGCTCGTTTGCCCCCTATTCTATAAAAAAAGAAAAAAAAATTCTTTTAGCACTAGCATCAAGTAAAGTAGTCTAAAGTGATGTTTAAAAATTAAGTTATATTATTTTTTTCTTTATTTAAACTAAACTCTATTAAATTAACTATTTATTAACCAAAACAATGGACTTCACTTAAACATTATGTCAAAGTTAAAGCTTTTATACTTTGTGAGTGAATAGTGACTTGGTGCAATTCCTTTCATTTATGAGAGCAATTAGTTTGTCACTCTTCTTGTACACTACAATATTAGATGATAATAAAAAATTACAGTAATTAATCAGTTGTTATTAGGTAAAATAACCGGCCAAGTGCGAGTCGGACTCACGCATGAAGGGTTCCATACCATCGTAATACAAGTTTCTGATAGGGGAGCAGCTCCCTTCAATTTTTAATTTATTTTTATTATTTGTTATAGCACTGCAGCAACAGAAATACGCATTCTGTAAAAATTTCAACTGTCTACCTATTACGGATCATTGAGATACATCCCAATGACAGAGAGACGAATAGACGTAGGCTTAGTAATAGGGTCCTGTTGGTTACTCTTCGAGTACGGAACTCTAAAAAATATGTATGGTACTTTTTACATATTATATGAGGGTGTGAATGATGTTCCAGTTAACAAATATAGACAATAACTATATATTAGTTGTTCAAATAATAGCTCATTACCTTATTCATCCCATGTATTATAAATCAAATCCTAGTTGTAGAGTTGTTCCACTTGTACAATACAAAGTAAATATTTTGATTTTATGTAATTACCCAACTGCTCCAGAAGGAGGGTAATCTTTTTCGAATGTATGTATGTCCGTACCCTAAACAGCTTGATGGATTTAAACATAGCGGTGTCATTAGATTCGTCTTAGTCGTGGAAGTGACATAGGGTATAAATTTTTTCTGTTTTCACTAAACTTTTTTACTCAGTCGGGTTTGTTTGTTTTATCCTTTAGGCATTTTAATGTATTATATTTTCTCTTTGTCTAATTTTAATATTTGATTTTCCAGTCCTTTTGGCAGTTGTATCTGTGTGTACTGCAATAGCGGCATGGCATTGGTTGACTGATCCACTTACACCAGTGGTTTCCCTTACACAGTCACTTTGGAATCACCCATTCTTCGCATTTACCTCAACATTTTTAGGTAATTACTGCTTTCATATGTATTTTTTTTATATTTTTTTTACAAAAATGTACAATTACACATTTTGACAGTGTAGGAATAGGCTGTGTAAGAATATCCACTACTCCATATCGTCCCATTAGTGTCTTAAGAGGCGACAGAGGGAAACAAACCAGGAGATGAGCAGTAGTATCTTTCCTAAAAGGTAAAAACTGTGGCACCCTACACGCTTATGAAGCTTGGCAACTATGGCAAATATTCTGTATCAAAATATGGGGGCCATCTATGTAGTGGTAACAGTAACATGTGTTATTGTATAACTTGAGACATATTAAATCTACAAACATGCAATGCTCCATATCCTTCCCAGAAAGGAGAACAGGCCTGTGCTCAGCAGAGGGACATATACATATAGGATGCAACTTTAACAGTTGCAATTTAATTTTTTTACTTCTCAATTTATATTAAGGTTAATATGCATGCTTAAACACAAGCTTCCTCTCTTCATTTTTTAGTATATCAAAGTGTATTCTGTTTTTTGGAGAGATTTTCCCACAGATGTCTCGTACCTTTGATGCTGCTTTCCATTACAAGTCTGAGTATTTTAAGTCTGGCGTATATAAGATTGTTATACCGCAATCTGTCCAAAGTTATTAATTTTCTTGTGAGATTTCACATTTGTCTCTTAAAGACCCATCTATGGACCTAAACGAGGTGACGGATTTTCTTACGTCAACCTGACACATTTAATTTAACAACGTAAATGGTGTCTCATGGTGACACTCCTCAAGGAGTTAGAGCATGTCGCTGCTACTCCGCCTTGTTGTGACGAATCCACCTTGGTTGGCCTATCCCGATGCTTGTTGTTGGACACTAATGGGGGGATAACTTTTTCACCTGACCACAGCAGCTGAGCATGGGACGCGTTGGGAGCAGAGTGTTGGTATTAAGATGCGCTGCTCATTTGGTCACTGGGTCAGCGGCAGAACCATAGACCTGTTGTTGGTATCGATTGTTAAGAATGTATTTTAGTTTATATATTAATCAAGTTATTTCTTTCTTTCCAGTTGTATTATTTATGATGGGAGTGCATAGGAAGGTTATAGCGCCCAGTATAATTACGGCACGCACTCGCTCTGTTCTAAATGACTTTAATATGTCTTGTGACGAGACGGGCAAGTTAATATTGAAACCAAGGCCGGCGAACAATTAAGATTTACTTATTCTATTTATTATCCATTCTAGACATTTGTAATTTGTAAATATTATATAAGTATTAAATGCTGTGTTAATTTGTAGAAAATAAAACGAAGATACTAAGTTAAACTTTTATTTATCATAACTTTGGTGTGTTTATTATATACAATAAATAAATGACTAAGTATTATATTTCGGTCAAACAAGAAACATTATAATAAACAGGTTATTAATTGAATAAATATAAAATGTAAGAAATTTTAATATTACAGTTTATTTGCTGGTATATTGTTAACTTTGAATTAAATAAAAATACAGTAATTATCAATCTTAAACGTAACATCTACATAAGTTATCAAAACAAATAGGATTCATACAATTAACACTAAAAATACATTTTTCGTAATTGTGCTTTTGACTAACATTGACTACAGTGATTTTTTCCCATATTATCTTAAGTCATTATTAAAAAAAAAAAACATGAATTTGATTTTGTTATTTATTAATTTAAGCCGAAGTCTAACATAGTACGTTATTAGACTTGACATAGTGTATTATTCAGTAGTCAGGAATTCGATACTGAAATATCCTTCGTAAAATGACGTTTATAAAAATAGATATATGTCTTTGGGCAGTGTTTGTTTTGGATTTTATTTATACAATGCAATTTAAATCAATTCCTTATAATAAATGCAATTTCATGTGAGTATACGATATTTAGAGGATTGCAATTAACAGCCATGATTAAAATTATGGAAATACGTCAACAAGATATTAGAATTACCTAATCTAAAAATAACTATAATTTTGTGCTAACTGTGCAAGTAATACATGTAACTAAGTTTATTTACTAGGAGGTTAATACTTAAACAATCTTAGCACTAAGGATAGAATATTTGTGCTAATGTGACAGGTAAATAAGAATATAATTAAATTCGAATTATAAGTATATTAATAAATTTAGATAATCAAGATCCGTTGACGGATTAAATAATCATAATGAATGTAATTATACATTTTGTTTTATATAAGTTTTAAACATTTTTATTGAACTCCCTATTACAAAAGAATACAAAGGGCGGACTTATTTACACCATCACTGTTGGCATACATATATATTAGTGATTTTAAAAGTTTCTAGAAGCTACACTAAATAAATAACGAATCAATTAAAATATCTGATGAGTTTAACAGAATTCTCAACAGCATACGTAATTTTTGAGTAGTTACTTTGAGCGCACATAGCGGCTGTTAATTATACTAATTTATTATCCAATTATTATAATTTAAAGTTATTTGATTGTAAATACAGTCCAAATAACGCAAGTATAATAACTAAAGTATTTATAGCTTATAGGTATTATTTATACATGCTTATTGAAACATATATAAAACTACATTCAAAATCACAATTATAACTCGAAGGCAGTGTATACATGCACAAATATAAAATGTTAAGGAAAGTAAGCTATTGTTGTATATTTTATTTGGTATTTTGTATGAGCCTCATTTTGCCAAATACATAATTTTTTAGTCAACGATAATCAAGCCAAGTGTGACTTTTTAAGGGTTAATTCTCTGAGTCTGAAAACTATAATTTAAAATCAGTCTTAAAGGACATGGATAATAATATATGAAATGCTTATTTTTTTTAATACCTGCATTGTTACAAACAAAACATAATCCGTATAGAATGTGAGGAGTAACAACACATATGCCTCTGTAAAATAAACATACATCTATTTAATTGTATATTTAAAAATTATGCTACCTGGTAATAAAACATAATTCATAACAATTATATAGTAATGTGAATTATAACAATAGATGCAAACAATATATAGACATGATCAATTAATAGGATGAGACGGAATAAACTTTTACTATGAGCGTAACTAGGAAACAATATCTTCTTAGTTTATCATCTAAAGACCAATTTACTAAAGATTTCTTGGTTACGCTCATGTTTGATAATATTTAATAATACTTGCGTCTAAACTTATTTTAATAAATTTTCACATAGAACAGTAGGTTATATTCTAACTTACAATTTGCGACTGACTTGTATAAATTCTGGTGTGAGTTTGTTTTTATATAAGAGAGGGCAAACGAGCATGCGGCTCACCTGGTGGTGACTACTGCAGCACCAGGAGAATCGTAGATGCGTTGCCGGCCTTTTAGTTGTAACATACATAATACCTACAGAGTTACACGGACCTTGCACACGAGTGGGGTAAGGGAAAGATTTCTCAGAAATTTGTTCGTGGGTAATATTTTGCTTTTGAAGCGTTTTATATCATAAATATATCTATATATTGAGTTCTAAAAGGTGATCAATATATAATTTTTAAATATTAAATTGTTTTGCTATCTAAGTAGTTAAAATGTAACGCTAAGTTGTGACGATTTTTTTCCACTTTATGTTTAATTTATAATTTAGTATTCATATTATTATTCATAGTATATTTATATATAATATAATTAAACAAAAAAAAAAATGATGTTCAATAATAAGACAATCTTCAATTAAACAAAAAAAATGATGTTCAGTAATAAAACAATCTTCACTGAATGACATAAATCAAAACAAAATCTATTTTTAAACATCTTTGTATAACAATAAGGACACAGGATAATAATGTATAAAACACTTAATCGTCGCAACTTTAAGCGTGTTTTACATTAAAATACAACTCATACGCCAATCAAACACACACACACACACACATAATTACTTACGAAAACGTGATATTATTTCGATATCAAAAAATGGCTTATGAAACTACCAAAATAGAATGTTATAATTCTGCATAGGAAATACACTCGTTCCAAACGAAGACGATGATTTAACATTATCATACTTTGAATATATACTAATTTATTATTACTAATTTATCTAAATCTTGTCTATTTATTGTAGATCAATATGTCTAATAAAAACTACAATTATAATATTATTAAACTGAAAATTTGTCTGTGTTCCAGAACTATATTTCAATAAACGGTTATTGTCTATCATTTTTATACAAAAAAAAGAACAACGAAATGAACATTTTATAAGGTTTTTTATAGAAAATATTATGTATGTTGTCACTACTTTTATAACTTTTTTATGCTGGATACACACACTTGAACATTTTTACTATATTTTACAATAATAAAAACTAATGCCATTTTACCTTTGCCCTATGTTTATACGTCGTGAAAGGTATATATAATATATTAACGACAAAGGTATTTTACTATACGAAATAACTGTCAATTAGTGTATGTTAAAAAATATGTAAACGACTGTACTACAATAAAAAGACAAGTTAACTAGAGCAACAAAAAATGCATGCCGACGAGAAATCCCCACAGGTATTTATTGTCAAATCATTCCCCACAGCAACATGCAAGGCTTGAATGGTGTCCTCACGCCGCCAACAGGGTCTTGATATTCTTCGGCGTCGACTGGTGGTTGAGGTGCTTCGTGGTATATCGTAACGCGTTAAGTAAGGGCTCTGCTTTGGCCGGCGGCTGCTGTTGCAGGAACTTAACGCACCCCTTCACGTCTACCGACGAGGAACGACAGAAGGCGCCCGAGGGATGCACCCAGTCATATAGGATGATGAGTCCAACCATTACACGAAGGACCAGAAGCGATGTCTCTTCGCGGCTGAATTGTGCGACGAGTTTTCTGGAAAGAAAAATGTATAGCCTTGATTATAACTATAAAATGCTAACTATAATAACGTACTAAATGGGTTACTCATAAACTATAACAACCAGTTTCAGTTAGTTATTAGACGTCTATCCAATTTCCCGTACATTCATGAAAATATTTGATCCCATTGATGTTGGTATGGTCTATGATAGTCATTAAACAATATAGCATATTACATTAGTAATCTTAACTATATAAATAAATAAATTTGAAGTGTCTGTTTGTAATATCAGAATAACAACTTTTTACTAAATGCATATATAGTTATATACGGTACGTATAAGAAAATACAATATTTTAAATTTTTGGCTCTGTCTGTCGGTTTGTTCCGTCTATTCTCCGAAATGGCTGGACCGATTTTGACGGGACTCACTTGCAGATAGCTGATGTTATAAGGAGTAACTAAGGCTACTTTTATTTTTACAAAATAAAATAGAATTCCGCGAAAAAAAAATCCAATCGTAATGAATTCCACGCGGGCGAAGTCGCGGGGAACAGCTAGTTAAATGACAATTCAAATAAAATAATCTTTACTTTGTTTGGACCGTGGTAGCTCACCAGAGAAGGCGTCCTTAAAATATCATGAAACGTGGGTACTGCAGCTGGGTAATTGAGTTCAATCACCGCCGCCACTATCGAAATTGTCACATATAAGTTTTTATTGTGTATAGCTATGCTGCAGCTAAATTATAGCTGTAGCACGAATGTGTCGACTCGAACGGGGTAGGACAACGCTCCCACAGAATGCCAGCATGCAATAGCAGCTTAATGCTGCTGTGCTTCAGACGCTGAGTTCACGGTGAGTGTAGAGAACCAGATACCCTTTTTACTGAAAACAGGGCATTCCATCTTGGTCCTCAGGGTTAACAATGCATCAGCATTTTTATTTTAAATCGAGGATAGATGTAGTTGCCTTTTTGTTAACCGACATCAAAAAAGGAGGAACTTTACATAAGCCTATTCACTTGTCCTATTCTTTTGTAGTCGGCAAAAGTAAATTATGTTCTCCGCTTCTGTTGTGTTATGTAAAGCTGTATAAATAAACGTACTACAAAATCAGTCCCTTTTCATATCATCATTCATCATCATCATTTCATATCATCTAACGGTGAAATGTCAAATACAGTTATAATTTCACGGAAAACGTATGTAGGTCATTCTGTTACACATGGCATGTCGTGTCGATATTGTGTTTTTATTATCCGTTATGTAAACACTCGATATGGATCTTGGATGTAGGTACGCCCTATCTCGATATCATCAATTTAAAGTATTTTTTTTAATACTGATATAAACTCAGGGCTTGCTTTTAAATTATTAAACATATTGCACTATGGTTAAAACAGTAACTACAAAAACTCGACCGTGTTTTCTTTTGAAACTTATGAGTTTACATAGAAGTATTTTAGAATCAATATGAACTACAAAACAAATTGTTCAAGATAAGTTTACACTATCATCACCGTTATTTGGTAAGGTTTTGTTTTAACAATCAATTCGCATAACAATAATTCAAAACATAATTAAATTATCTAATAAGTTTTTATCGTACAAACCTAATATGTAGCAGATGTTCGAATTTAAGCAATACATTTTATATATGATTTTTATGTGTTACTAAAACAAGTTTTTCTGTAACTAACATAATAAAATTGTGTAATACGAATATAGTTAGAGAAAATGCGGAAGTTTTGGATAGTCCATGTTATGTTTGCTCAAACATGAGTTGAGATTTATGACACAATAAAACGATGTGTACACGCGGATGTATATCCGGGTTGCAAGATTCTCAACAGGGTGTGCCCATATCCAAGGCAAAAATATTGGATATTGAGGTTTATCAAATACACTGGTAAACAAATTAAATGCAATTATCTAACTCAAATGAATAACAACAATGTAAGCCTATGTAGGCCAGCCTTCAGCGATTTCCTTACAGCTAATATAACGAAATCAGTGGAAAATTTGTTTTGTTGCCCTTATATAGGTACAGTAAGTACATTATAATGAATTTTTAACCGAAATTAAAATAGGGCGAATTTTACAATTCTTTTGTATTTTAATACAACACAATATCTTCGAGATTAATTTATAGATTTTGCTTATTGATATTGTATACCACATTCGAGGAAAATTTAAGTCAGTTCTATTATATTATTTTATACGTAGTAGAGCTACGCTGCAGCTATATTATGATTGTAGCACGAATGGGTCGGCTCGACCGGAGTAGGACCACTCTCTCACACATTATCAGCGTGACATTGCAGCTTAATGCTGCTGTGTTTCGTATGGGGGGTGTAGAGAACCAAATACCATTTTTACTGGATACGAGGCATTCCAACTTAGTCGTCAGAGGTGACAACCATCTGCATTTTGATTCTTAATTGAGGATAGATGTAGATGTCTATGCGCCACATCATCATACCATCAGGTGGACTGTGTGCTTATTAGTCACTCCCATTCCATAAAAAAGGATTTTTTTTTAATATTATTATTGGGTACATATATTTATTTAATAATGAAAATATTTAACAAAACTACTTTTACGGATTCTATCGCGTTTAATTAACTTATTTTTATTAATTCCCGACGTTTCGGGTGCATTACAGCACCCATTTAAAGCACCCGAAACGTCGGGAATTAATAAATAAAAAATAAGTTAATTAAACACGATAGAATCCGTAAAAGTAGTTTTATTGAATGTGTAGTGTTCGCGTAAACATAAGAAATCATAATGAAAATATTCTTCATCACTTATGTGTTTGAAAGCTTAATTTTTATCAGTAATTAAATAAAAAGGGAAAGTAAAAACGCTAAGATCTAAGACGTTGATTATCATTTGTCTATGCTTTCATTAAATAAAAATTAGATATAATACACATAGTGTTTTTAATCGCAAAGCTTTATGATAAGATTTTAGCTTTGTACATTTTATAAAGTTTAAAAATCAGTAGATGATTACAAATCACTGTTGCCCTGAAGTATATTTTACACAGCTTTAATATCTTTAATAAAATAATTATTGTTGTGTTTTACTCATAGTTATTAACCTACATATTAAGAATTCTAAAGGTACAGCATTAAAAAAAGGTACACTGTTTACTGAATTCAACTACTGCAATAGCATTAGGCAGTCTGTGAACGCCAACCTAGATTTACACAAGTCAGGAAGCGGGCACGTAAGCAATTAGGCCCTGACAGAAAATCAATTCGCCGATCGTAGGCAACCAACAGCCATAAATATCGCAGTGTTGTGTCGTACTTTTGAATGCTATTTTAAGAACAAAAACTTGAAAATTATAATATTACATTATAGAAAGCGAAGCGTGTCATTGCATACATCAGACTCGTCAGTGTCAAAATTGTCTACTAAATGTATTTCACGTACACTGGTAAACTTTCCCGTCGCCAGTTCAAGTTAGCCAGTAGTAAGTTTTGCTTTTTTGCATATATTTTCCTTTGTAAATTAATGTTAAGTCTACTCAGTCAATTAGAAAAGTGCAATATATATACTTAGTAGAGCCACGCTTCCACTAAGTATATATATTGCGCTAAGAATCCACTTACCAACAGGTGGACTGTGTGCTCGTTTGTCACCCATATACTATAAAATCTATGACATACTCGCACATGTGAAGTAGTCATTGAGATTAAAAAATTATGAAGTAGCCATTAAGATTAAAAAATGACTATACGTGGTAGAACCATGCTGCAGCTATGTTAGTAGTATAGCTGTAGCACGAATGGGGCGGCTCGACCGGGGAAGGACCACGCTCTCACAGAATACCAGCGTAAAATAGCAGCTTAACACTGCTGTGTTTCATATGGTGAGTGTAGAGAACCAGATACCCTTTTTACTGGAAAAGAGGCATTCCACCTTAGTCCTCACGGGTGACGACGCATCTGCCTTTTGATTCTTTATTGAGGATAGATGTAGATGTCTATGGGTCACAGCAACCATTTACCATTATGTGGATTGTGTGCTCGTTTGTTACTCTATTCTATAAAAAAAAAAGAAAGTAAAATCGTAAGATGATGCTAAATTTGCTTCTTTAGAATTACCTTACGAATGATACGACGAATAGAGTTAAAATAACTCTATTCGTCTCGTAGTTAATATATATAAATTGCCTTTTGCAAGTCTTTTTTCAATTACCAAGTCCTTGAATACAATAATATCAATCGTAATTTAGAATGGCGGTAGTTGTCATTCACGCCGTACAGTCCATTGTCACTTTCAATGTTGGAACGGGCCGATGTATCATCGAAACGCGCTTGATAAGGAAGTGCTTGCGCACGGACGGCACCCGTTTATCACGGTGACCACTTATTATGGCTCTGGCTGAATATGTTCCAGACTCCCAAAACTATTGGCTGAGAATAATTTGTAAAGTGGGCCTTCAAAGATTTTGTTCAATAAAACGCAACATCTTTACAGTTGATGATGAAATTGATATCTATCTTGTGACAGTATAATGATTGTGGAAGGCTTCGTACAATTGCGATGTTTATTTGTCCCCCCCCCCCTCACATTCCTCAACCTAACGGAAGTATTTATCAATTCAATCGAATAACATTCCGACGCTCAGTCACAAATTGGGGAACCATTTTGGGAATGTCTCGTTTGGCTAGTGGTCGTAAACGCGGTTGATAATCATGAGGTCCCGGGTTCGAATCCCGGATCGGGCGAAAATTAGTTACTGGGTATTTCCGTGAAGAAATCCTCAGTAGGAGACCGGAGCCAGGAAGTTGGCGGTCTTTCACCCCCGTACCTCGGAAAGTACATGAAGCCGTTGGTCCTGTGATTATCATCCCATCGAATTATAAAAGTCAATGAATATAATTAGAAAGTGCACCTGTGCTTACGCACGCACTCGTGAACTATATTCCTGTCCTGTACAGATGTCTAGTCTACGTTCAGACTGGCCGCCGTGACCGAATTCGGTCTGGATGATATTATGTTCACAAAAAAT